ACCCTGAGATATCTAAACCCAGCGAGAATGGCCTACATCACAAAATCTCAAAACTGCAGATACAGGCTTGGATGTGGAGAGAAAGGAATGCTTTTGCACTGCTGGTGGGACTACAAACTAATACAGCCTTTTTGGAAAGAAGCATGGAGAAACCTCAAAGAACTCAACCCAGACCTCGTATTTGATCCTGCAATCCCATTACTGGGCATCTATCCAGAAGGAAAAAAAAAACCCTTTTATTATAAAGACACTTGTACTAAGTTGTTTATTGCAGCCCAATTTACAATCACTAAAATGTGGAAACAGCCTAAATGTCCTTCAACCCAGCAATGGATTGGTAAGCTGTGGTATATGTATACCGTGGAATATTATTCAGCCATCAAAAATAATGGAGATTTTACAGCATTTGTCCTAACCTGGATGGAGGTGGAACACATTATTCTTAGTGAAGCATCACAGGAGTGGAGAAGTAAGAATCCTAGGTATTCAACTTTGATATGAAGATAATTAATGACACGGTGGGGCATGGGGGAAGGGGAGACCAGACAGAGAAGGAGGGAGAGGGTGTGGGCAAGGAAAAAAAAATAAAGAAATTAGTGACTAATTCTCATATAAATTGTATTTAACTTTGACCAAAGTACATTACTTAAACATTAATTTTTAATTAAACATGTTAATATGTTGTTTATGATATTGCATCCTCATTTATAAGTGAAATACATTTGTAATTTCCCCTTTATAATAATATATTTTCTCCAATTTTAATATCAGGTGTATCCAGATTAAGAAGAATGATTTTGAAGTATTTCTTTTTCTATTGTCTATAAGATTTGGCATGATCTGTTTTTTTGAAATTATCTTTCACTTTTATTTATAAATATTAGTTGTCTTTTTTTGAGACTTTGGAAAAAACAAAATAAGATGAAGAAGTTAACTGATCAAAGTATTCTATAATAGACATACTTCTATCTGACAATGTGAATGTTTCTTTGCATTATTACTATTATTATTGCTTAATATTTTGTTGCAGCAATCATATGATTTCTTTTCTGAATATATATATATATATTTGAGACAGAGCCTCAAGCTGTCCCCCTGGGTAGAGTCCCATGGCATCACAGCTCACAACAACCTCCAACTCCTAGGGTCAAGCGAGTCTCCTGCCTCAGCCTCCCAAGTAGCTGGGACTACAGGCACCCACCATAACGCCCGGCTATTTTTTGGTTGCAGCCATCATTGTTGTTTGGCGGGCCCGGGCTGGATTCGAACCCACTACCTTAGGTGTATGTGGCTGGCGCCTTAGCCACTTTAGCCACAGCCGCCGAGCCTTCTGAATGTATTTATCTTTATTCGTTGTTATTCATTCTTTATGATTCGTTCTTTTTGTTCTCAGTCCTTATTAAAACATTGTTATTGTCATTAAATTTAGCCTTTTTAATTCTGTGAAGGCAAAAGTGGAAACCTAATATACACATGTATAAGTAAGAAAAATAAATTTAAAAAAAAGAAAAAAATAGCCAGGCATTGTGGTGGGCGCCTGTAGTCCCAGCTACTTAGGAGACTGAGGCAAGAGAATCACTTGAGCCCAAGACTTTGAGGTTGCTGTGAGCTATGACATCACAGCACTTTATCCAAGGTCACAGTGAAATTCTGTCTCAAAAAACAAAAACAAAAAATGATCATTAATGAAGCTGGCTACACTAAACAATGGATTTTCAATATAGACAATATAGCTTTCTGTTGGAAAAAGATGCCATCTAGGACTTTCACAGCTAGAGAGAAGTCACATCCTGACTTCAAAGCTTCAAAGGACAGGCTGACGCTCTTGTTAGGGGCTAATGCAGCTGCTAACTTTAAGTTGAAGCCAGTGCTCATTGACCATTCTGCAAATCCTAGGGTCCTTAGGAATTATGCTAGTTCTGCTCTGCTTATACCCTAGAAATGGAAGTACTAACCCTGGGTAACAGGCACATCTGTTTATAACTAGGTTCACTGGATATTTTAAGTCCACTGTTGAGACCTACTGCTTAGGAAAAGTTTCCTTTCAAAATATTACTACTGGCTCGGCGCCTATAGCTCAGCCGGCTAAGGTGCCAGCCACGTACATCTAAGGTGGCAGGTTCGAATCCCCAGCCCGGACCCGCCAAACAACAATGAAGGCTGCAACCAAAAAATAGCCGGGCATTGTGGCGGGCGCCTGTGGTCCCAGCTACTTGGGAGGCGGAGGCAGGAGACACGCTTGAGCCCAGGAGTTGGAGGTTGCTGTGAGCTGTAATGCCATGGCACTCTACCCAGGGGGACAGCTTGAGGCTCTGTCTCAAAAAAAACAAAAAAAACAAAAATATTACTACTTATGGACAATGCACCTCGTCACCCATGAGCTCCAATGAAGATATACAAGGAAATGAATGTTGTTTTCATGCCTGTTAACATAATATCCAGTCTGCAGCCCATGAATCCAGGGGTAATTTCAACTTTCAAATCTTATTATTTAAGAAATAATACTCTATAAGACTGCAACTGCCATAAAAAGTAATTTCTCTGATTGATCTGGACAAAATTGATTGAAAACCTAGAGAGGATTCATCATTCTAGATGCCATTGAGAACATTTGTGATTCAAGGGAGGAGACCAAAATACCAACCTTAACAGGAGTTTGGAAGAAGTTGATTCCAACCTTCACAAATAACTATGAGAGGATCAAGACTTGAGTGGAAGAAAGTTACTACAGATGTGGTGGAAATAATAAGGGAACTAGAATTAAAAATGGAATCTAAAGATATAAATGAATTGCTGCAATCTCATGATCAAACTTGAAAGAATAAGGAGTTGCTTCTGATGCATGATCAGAAAAAGCAGTTTCATGAGGTGGAATCTACTGGTGAAGATGCTGTGAACATTGTTTAAATGACAACAGAGAATATAGAATAGTCCATAAACTTAGTGACCTAAGCAGTGGCAGGGTGTAAGAGGATTGGATTTCAAAAGCTCTATTTTTTTTTTTTTTTTTTTTGAGATAGAGTCTTACTCTGTGCCCTGGATTGAGTGCTTTGGTGTCATAGCTCACAGCAACCCCAGACTCTTGAGCTTAAGCAAGCCTCTTGTCTCAGCCACTTAAGTAGCTGGGACTACAGGTGCCCACCACAAAACCTGGCTGGGGTTTTTTGTTTGTTTGTTTGTTTGTTTTCTATTTTTAGTAGAGATGGGATCTCCCTCTTGCTCAGGCCGGTTTTAGACTCCTGAGCTCAAGCAATCCACCTACCTCAGCCTCCCAGAATGCTAGGATTACAGATGTGAGCCACTGTGTCTTAACTTTTGAGAGAAGGTCTATTGTGTGTAAAATGCTATCAAATAGCATCATGTGCTTCAGAAAATTCTTTAGTAAAAGGGAGTCACTCAGTGCAACAGACTTCATTGTTGTCCATTTTATGGAATTGCCACAGCCACTCCAGTCTGTACCAACTACCACCCTGATCAGTCAGTAGCCATCAACACAGAGGTAGTGTCCTTCACCAGCAAAACAATTATGTGACTTGCTGGAAGCTCAGATGATCATTAGCAATTTTAGCAATGAAGTATATTTTAGTTAAGGTGTGTACTGTGAGTTTGTTATACGTAATTCTTTTTTGTTTTTTTTAAACAGAGTCTTACTATGTCGCCCTCAGTAGAGTGCCATGGAGTCACATCTCACAGCAACCTCAAACTCTTGGGCTTAAGCAATTCTCTTGCCTCAGCCTCCCAAGTAGCTGGGCCTACAGACACCCAACCCAATGCCCAGCTATTTTTTGTTGTTGTTGTTATTGTTGTTGTCATTCTTGTTTAGCAGGCCCCAGCCAGTTCAAACCCGCCAGCCCCAATGTATGTGGCTTGTGCCCTAACCACTGAGTTGGGTTCTGAGCCTATTGTACATACATGATTGTACTGCACACATAACAGACAACAGAATAGTGTAAACATAACTTATGCATGTGCTTGGAAACCAAAGTTGGGTTCTGAGCCTATTGTACATACATGATTGTACTGCACACATAACAGACAACAGAATAGTGTAAACATAACTTATACATGTGCTTGGAAACCAAAAACCTTGGGTATCTTGCTTTTTTGATTATGGTCTAGGATCATATCCATACTATTTTTGAAGTATATGTGTAACCACATACAACCATCAAAATCTGGGAATTAACATTGATTTAGGACTACAGTCTAATCCTTAAAACCCTTTCAAATTTCACCAGTTGTCACAATAGCACTCTTTTAATCTCAGTATGTTCCCCAGGATAGAGTGCTATGATATCATAATAGCTCACAGCAAACTCAAACTCTTAGGCTCAAGCAATCATCCCTAGTAGCTGGGACTATAGGCAAGTGCCAATATGCCTGGCTAATTTTTCTGTTTTTTGTAGAGATGAGGTCTCCCTCTTGCTCAGGCTGGTCTTGAACTCCTGAGCTCAAGTGATCCTCCTGCCTGCCTTCCAGAGTGCTAGGATTACAGGTTCACACCACTAAGCCCAGCCCCTAGAATCCAAAATTTTAGTTATGAATATTAAGGTCTTTTTCCTTCCTCCAAACTAGATTTTTTAAAAAATCATTAGGTTCTTTCAATTTTTTGAATAAGGAATAATTTTAGCTTCCCTCCTTCAGTTCTTACAATTGCTTTTCTACTCTGTGTTTCTTAGATTTTTATGCCACTCTACCCCCTTCCTATCTAGAACAGAAGCTGTCACTCTGCTGCTCTCAGACACTGTCCTGATCACATCTTGCCTTTGGAGACAGGAGGATACCACCTGCTTTCTTAGATGTTTTTTTCTTTTACAAGCTTAGAGGTGATACTACCCTCAGCTAGGGTATGAGGTGTGGTGGGGTCATCCTGGCCATGTGCCCAGGGTGGTCTGAGTCCCTTGTGTCCTACTGGCAGAAAACAGACACAGACTCCAGGATGTACAACTAGACACACTGATTATTTTAATTTCATTTTTTATTCCATTTTGTCATGACAGGAAAAGTCTTGCATGAGGAACACGTTGAACTCTTGATGGAGGAATTTGCATTCCTGAAAAAAGAAGTGGTAGGAAAAGACCTACTGAAAGGGTCACTTCTCTTCACAGGTCAGTTTCAGACAAGATCACAGGTGAGGTCGGAAGGCCAGCCAGGTTCTTTCCTCTCTGTCTAGGATAGGAACTTAAGTTTGTTCTTGTGAAAGAGTCTGACTCAAGGCGAATTTAATTTTCTCAGACTCCCATGAACAATAAAGATAACTATTTTTATTCTTTCTCAAATGAAATTTCTCTGATGGGCTTTGGGTAACAGTGTGTTAGAAATCTCAAGCATAGGCTTGGCACTTATAGCTCAGAGGCTAGGGTGCCAGCCACATACGATGGAGCTGACAGGTTCAAATCCAACCCGGGCCTGCCAAACAGCAATCACAACTACAACCAAAAAATAGCTGGGCATTGTGGCCAGCACCTGTAGTCCCAGCTACTTGGGAGCCTGAGGCAAGAGAATTGCTTAAGCCCAAGAGTTTAAGGTTGCTATGAGCTATGATGTGACAGAACTCTACTGAGGGCGACATAGTGAGACTCTGTCTCAAAAAAAAAAAAATCTCAAACATATTTATGCTTCAGTCCCAATTTTGTAAATAGGTGGAAATTTTTTTCTGCTGGAAGGGACCAGGAGATGCTCAGAGAGAAGAACATTTTTATACCTCAAAATAGAATATGCATAACTCCTTTGCTCCTCTAGCAAATTACGAGGACATTGGCTGGAACCACAGGATTTGATCCACTGTGTATGTGGCTATTTACTTAATGGTGGTCATTCTTAGAGCAACCCCTTTAGCAACAGGAAATTGAATTAAGGCATGGTGGAGCCTTCTGCTCTGGCAGTCACCTTTGTTTTTTGTTTTTGTTTTTTTCTTTTTTTTTTTTCCAGATAAAGTCTTACTCTTGTTTCCCAAGCTAGCATGCCATGGCATCATCATAGTTCACAGCAACCTCAACCTACTGGGTTCAAGTGATCCTCTTGCCTCAGCCTCCCAAGTAGCTGGGACTACAGGCACCCACCATGACTTCTAGCTAGTTTTTCTATTTTTAGTAGAATCAGGGTCTTACTCTTGCTCAGGCTGGTCTTAAACTCCTAAGTTCAAGCAATCTGCCCACCTCAGCCTTCCAGAGTGCTAGGATTATAGGTGTGAGCTGCCATACCTGGTCTCTTGCGGTCACCTGTGAATAACCACTTTATCTGGCTCTTCCCTGGGATATCAGACCCACCTTTCCTGAGGGCTTTCATTACGGAAAGGAAACCCTGATGTGACCTGGCATTGCTGAGTGCTGAAACCACTCATTTCTTCATGAGTTGTCAGAGAACACAGTAGAGCCTCATTTCAAAATCTGCCTTATCCTTGAAAATGATAATGAAAGTCATGGCAACAAATAATAACTTTTTTTTTTGAGACAAAGTCTCAAGCTGTCGCCCTCCATAGAGCACTGTGGCATCACAGCTCACAGCAACCTCCAACTCCTGGGCTCAAGCAATTCTCTTGCCTCAGCCTCCCAAGTAGCTGGGACTACAGGTGCCTGCCACAATGTCTGGCTATTTTTTGGTTGGTTGCAGCTGTCATTGTTGTTTGGCCGGGCTGGATTCGAACCCACCAGCTCAGGTGTATGTGGCTGGCGCCTTAGCCGCTTGAGCCACAGGCGCCAAGCCAATAACTATTAATTTGTATAAGAAACTGTGCTGTGTATGTGACATGCACTTCTCATTAAGATTAAGAGATTAAGATTAAGTATCATTAAAACTACCAGAGCAGAAGTCTCCACCATGCCTTAAGATGAGAAGTGCATGGCATATGAATATCACAGTCCTATAAAGAGGGTATTTATTACCACCATTATACAGGTGAGGAACCAAAGCTCAGAGAGGTGAATAGCTTTACAAAGTTCATCCACCAGTCGTGTGATACAACCTGAGACTGGAGCTGAGGTCTCTAACTACATGGCTCAAACTTTTGGTGGCTGCTTAGTACTCCGTCCAAAGAGCCAGAGTAAACAGTAACCAGCCCAAAGGGGCTCTTCTTTCTTTTGTTAAATTTGATACTTAGGTCCTAATGCTTTCAAACCGTGTTGTCTATGAAATTCCTAATTTTTGTTTGCTTTTATATTTTATCTTTTAAGAACATGGTCAGGGTCAGTTATTCACTGTTTTATGTAAATATCAAAGTCATAAGGAATGTTTGGTTTATGATGTAACAGACATGAAGTCTTTCAAATTTAGGTTATGTTTAGGTGGCACCTGTGGCTCAAGGAGTAGGGTGCTGACCCCATATACCAGCGATGCTGGGTTCAAACCCGGCCCCAGCCAAAAAAAACTGCAAAAAAAAAAAAAAAAATTAGGTTATGTTTGAGAATTGGCCTGTACCTCAATCAAACAGATTCCTAAAAACAACAACAACAAAAAAAAAAAAAACCAGATTTCTCACATAGATACTCTTTTGAATGTACCTTTTCATACCTGACATTAGGAAGACTAAGAAAACATTTGATACTATCAGTTTCCTTTTTTGTTTTTACTGTCAATTTTCTTGATATTGAAATAGCTTACCAGTATTACAGTTTTCTTTGCTACTCCTTACACACATGATATTTATAAGAATTCAGGCTGGAGGGGCTAAAACCCCTTGATTCTTCTACTTTTGCCAGATAACTTTAAATCACTAATCGAAGAGGATATATTTGAGGGAGGGGTGTCTACATATATCCACATAAATGTATATATTAGAAGCTTGAAACTTTGTTATTATCCTGTTCGACAGGATCAATTGCTATTTCCAGTAAAATGTTTTATTTTACTAACAAAACTGAATTTAATAAACAAGAAAAGAGAGCTTTTATGAAAAAAGTTTAAATGTAGCCATCTGAGTTTTTATCAGTATTAGTAATCATCTTGCACGCACACCTGCCTCCTCCCATAAGGCACAGACTTCTTACCTAGTCACTCAGCTGCATCTTTTCATTCCCTGTTTCCTCTCCCTGCCCCGTCCTGCTCTCTGCCTGGCACTCCCGCTTCCCAGTCCCCACAGCATTTGTGCTTCCCCACAGCTGGCCCATTGGAAGAAGAGCGGTTTGGCTTCCCCGCGTTCAGTGGCATCTCTCGCCTGACCTGGCTGGTCTCCCTCTTTGGGGAACTTTCTCTTGTGTCTGCTGCTTTGGAACAGCGAAAGGAAGATCAGTATATGAAGATGACTGTGTGCCTGGAGACAGAGAACAAACGGTAAGTGGTAAGAAGCCATGAAGAAAAGGAAACTTAAGGACATTCTCATATGTTCTCAAGGGTGAATCATTCTCAAGCGTGAGTCACTCCCAACTCCAGCAGACAACCACGGCCCTGAGATTTCACTTACACTGCCTCATTTCATCCTCTCAACAGCCCTGGAAGGATACATAATCCCATTTGCCCGTAAGTAAATGGAGGCCTACAGAATGTTTTTCATTTTTGAGACAGGGTCCTTCTGTTACCCAAGCTAGAGTGCTGTGGCATCAGCTTATCTCACAGCAACCTCAAACTCCTAGGTTCAAGCTGCCTCAGCCTCCTTAGTAGCTGGAACTATAGGCACCCGCCAACATACCTGGCTGATTTTTCTATTTTTAGTAGACACAGAGGTCTCACTCTCGCTCAAGTGGGTCTTAAACTCCTGAGCTTAAGGGATCCTCCCAGAGTGCTAGGATTATGGGCATGAGCCACCAGACCTGGCCAAGGCTTACAGAATTGAGGTTGCCTAAGTCACACACAAATAATTAATATCAGATTTAGTAGTAGATACTGAGTTACCTCTGTGACCTGAATTTCTACCAGTGTTATATTGTGAAAATTTCAGACATAATGATAAAGTGGAAGGAATTTTGTAGTAAACACTTGTACACCTGCCACCTTGATTCTGCTGTTAACATGTACTGTACTTACCACCTGGGCAGATAGGCATCCTCAGTACAAACAGAACTTAAGCTTCTATTTTTCAGTTTTATCATCATATCATAACTATTACCCTGTTCCAAAATATTCTAACTCTTTATTTCTTATCAAGTCTTTTTTTTTTTTTTTTGAGACAGAGCCTGAAGCTGTCACCCTGGGTAGAGTGCTGTGGCATCACAGCTCACAGCAACCTCCAACTCCTGGGCTTAAGCAGTTCTCTTGCCTCAGCCTTCCAAGTAGCTGGGACCACAGGCACCCACCACAACACCCAGCTATTTTTTTGTTGCAGTTGTCATTGTTGTTTGGCAGGCTCAGGCTGGATTTGAACCTGCCAGCTCTGATGTATGTGGCTGGAACCTTAGCTGCTTGAGCAACAGGTGCCAAGCCATATATCAAGTCTTTTTTAACAAAAGCACATTCAAGGCTGAGTGCGGTGGCTCACACCTGTAATCTTAGCATTTTAAGAAGCCAAGGCAGGAGGATCACTTGAGGGACTGGGGCTAGGAATTCCAGATTAGCCTGAGCGATTTTGTGAGACTGTCTCTACAAAAAAAAAAAAAAATTAGCCAGGCTTGGTGACACATGCCTTTTTTCCTAGCTACTCCAGAGACTGAGGCACGAGGATACCTTGAGCCCAAGAGTTTGAGGTTGCAATGAGATATGATTGTGCCATGGCACTCCAACCTGGATGATAGAGCTAGACCCTGCCTAAAAATAAGAAAAAATATTTAGAGAACAGAAAAAGAGTTATGTTCGTAATTTTCCTTGAAAAGCATTTGAGCTGGGTAAAATATTCAAAGCACTAAAGGTTGTGGAATGTTTCTTTCTTTTTTTTTTTTAAGAGTCTGACTCTCTTGTCCAAGCTGTCCTGAGGCGACCAGCTTAGTTCATAGCAACCTCAAAGGACAAGTGGATCACCTGAGCTCAGGAGCTCAAGACCAGCCAGAGCAAGAGAGAGACCCTATCTCTACTAAAAATAGAAAAACAAGCTCTTTGAGCTCAAGAGTTTGAGGTTGTTATGAACTATGATGACATCATGGAACTCAACCCCAAGTTGACAGAGTGAGACTCTTTCTCAAAAAAGAAAAAAAAATCCAAAGATCATCCCTTGAATGATGTACAAGTACCAGTATTAGCTAATGTTTATGGAGTACATACTGTATGTCAGTTATGGCCTAAACCTTTTACAAAGGTTTTCTCATTTAATCTTGATATCAACTCTCTGAAGTAGATATCATTGTTATCCCTTAGGAAACAGAGAGGTTAAGAAACTTGCCCAAAGACACAGAGCTAATACATGGCTATGCGGGATTCCCACTGAGGCAGCCTATCTCCAGACCCCATGCCGAACAACTTCTTGCTGCAGTGCTCAGGAAGGGCAAGGAAAAGCCTGTCAGAGAAACACACCAGGTCTGTACCTGATCACAATCTTCACACTTCAGTGAGACCAGGAGCATTAGCCCCAAAGCCAGGAAACTGTGGTGCAACTTTCCCAAATCATGTTCTTTCCACGTTAGCAGCAGTTTTCAAACTTTGTAAAAATAGGCATTAGGACCCCTTTGCAACCCAAATCTTTTTTCTTTTCTTTTTTTTAGAGACAGAGTCTCCCTTTGTCACCCTCAGTAGAGTGCTATAGCGTCACAGCTCATACCAACCTCCAGCTCTTGGGCTTAGGCAATTCTCTTGCCTCAGCCACCCAAGTAGCTAGGACTACAGGCATTTGCCACAATGCCTGGCTAGTTGTTGTTGTTGTTGTTGTTGTTGCAGTTTATCCGGGGCCAGGTTTGAACCCGCCACCCTCGGTATATGGTGCTGGCACCCTACTCACTGAGCCACAGGCGCCACCCTGCAACCTAAATCTTATATGGATTTCCAGTATATCAAAGAGGTGTTGGCTCGGCGCCTATAGCTCAACCGGCTAAGGCGCCAGCCACGTACACCTAAGGTGGCGGGTTTGAATCCCCAGCCCGGACCCGCCAAACAACAATGACGGCTGCAACCAAAAAATAGCCGGGCGTTGTGGCGGGCGCCTGTGGTCCCAGCTACTTGGGAGGCAGAGGCAGGAGACTCGCTTGAGCCCAGGAGTTGAAGGTTGCTGTGAGCTGTAATGCCACGGCACTCTACCCAGGGGGACAGCTTGAGGCTCTTCTCAAAAAAAAAAAAAAAAAAAGAGGTGCAAACTTTAACTCTCCTGTTGAAGCCGGTTGGGAGGAGTGGTGTCAGCATGCTTCCCTCCACCTCTTCTTCAGAGCTTGTTAGAAAGTCTCCCCCTCCATTATGCTTGCAGACAACTACTGACAGTAGGGACATGGATGTGATTGGGCAACTTCTGCAGAAGACGAGAAGATGGTGGCACTTTGCAGTAGTCCCCAGTGTAGTGAATGCAAACATTTGCCCAGGGAGATTTTCACAGAAGGTTGCAGAGGAGCTGTCTGTGAACTAGGACCTGTGTTTTGGGTTGGAATGTCTGGAATCAGGTGCATCCAAGCCCAGAACCTGGGTGGACCAGACCCTGTCCTTACCACTATTTCATTCAGCTGGCAAGAAGATGCCAACAACTGATGTCACTTAAATCCATAGTTAGGAAATAGTATAACTTCCACGTTTTAGCACACAGAGTCACGAAATGAGGAGGCTAATATATTTCTCCTGATGATGCAGTTCCCCCTTCATGCATTTCAGATCATTTCCTCTAGAGCACTCACCCACATGTAGTGTCAGGCTTGGTATGGGTTAGCCCAGGGGAGGAGTCCTTTACACAGGTTAGAGGCAGGCCTGAGCTTCCTATAGCATAGCACCCCAAACACAATCTTAAGTGGGCACCCTTTTCCTACAATCCCATACATAAATCTTTCTTTCTTTCTTTCTTTCTTTCTTTCTTTTTTTTTTTTTTTTTTTGAGACAGTCTCAAGCTGTCACCTTGAGTAGAGTGCTATGGCATAATAGCTCACAGCAACCTCCAACTCTTGGGCTCAGGCAGTCCTCTTTCCTCATTTTTAGTAGAGAGGGGGGGTCTCACTTTTGCTCAGGCTGGTCTGGAACTCTCAAGCTCAAGCAATCCTCCCACCTCAGCCTCCCAGAGTGCTAGGATTACAGGCGTGAGCCACCATGCCTGGCCTCCCATACCTAAATCTTAAGCCTTATTGTGGAGCACCACTCTGGAAGCAGGTAACAAAAGAGGATGAAGGTGGTTTCCCTCACCTCCTTAGCATCATGAGCTAACCTGCACCCCCCCACCCCCTAGCTGCCGCAGCTAAAGGGGAGGAGAAAACCCTCACTTAGCACAGCAGCTGACAACACTGCCTTTGCTTGACCCAGCTCATCCCTGTGAGGAAAGAAAAGAGAGAGGGAAGGAAAGAGAAGCAGCCAGAGGTCAACACTAAGTCATCTTACTCCTGGGACTTTGTTCTAAGGAAGGAAAAGTGTGCATGTGAAGATACTGAATGCAGGCAGGCAAGATGCCCATACTAATTAGAGTCTCAAGCTGTTGCCCTTGGTAGAGTACCATGGCGTCACAGCTCAACTCTTGGGCTTAAGTGATTTTCTGGCATCAGCCTCCCAAATAGCTGGGACTACAGGCACCCCACTACAATGCCCAGCTATTTTTTGGTTATAGTTGTCATTATTGTTTGGCAGGCCAGGGTTGGATTTCAACCTGCCCACTCTGGTGTATGTGACTGGTGCCCTAGCCTATGAGCTACAGGCACTGAGCCGTAATTTCAAAATTTGAAAGAGCTTAAAAGTCTGACAGCAATAAAATATTAAGTAAATTGTATAATCAATTGTACATTATATTCAGACAGAAATAATCATGATAGCAGGATTTTTTTTTTCATTTAAATAATCCTGGCTCCAGCAGTGCCTATGGCTCAGTGGGTAGGGTGCTGGCCCTATATACCAAGGGTGGCGGGTTCAAACTCAGCCCCAGCCAAACTGCAACAAAAAATTCAAGAGAATTGCTTAAGCCCAGGAGTTGGATGTCGCTGTGAGCTGTGACGCTACAGCACTCTACTGAGACTCTGTCTCTAAAAAATAATAACAATATAATATTGTTAGACTCTGTCTAACCATAATATAGTGATAATTGTGAGACTCTGGAGGCAGAGACAGGAGGATTGCTTGAGGCCAGGAGTTCAAGACGAGCCTGAGCAAGAGTAAGACCCCATCTCTACAAAACAATAGAAAAAGTGCCCAGGGATCATGGTGCACACCTATAGTCCCACCTACTGGGGAGGCCGAGGCAGCAGGATCACTTGAGCCCAGGAGTTTGAAGTTGCTGTGAGCTATGATGATGCTATTGCATTTTACTGTGGGCAAAAGAATGGGACTCTATCTCCAAAAAAACAAATACACCTTAAATTAATGTTGTGTAATTTTTAGAATGTTTAAAAGAACAGGTTTTATTTTTTTTCTGTCATAATATTCAGTGAAGCTTTTTACTTTAGGTCAAAATGTACTTAGAAGATTTCTGTTTTCTGTAAGCAGATATCACAGCTCTTATCTGTTATAAAGAGAGAAACTGCCCAGAGAAAGGACTTTGAAGAAATGGTGTCTAGGCTGGGTATGGAGGCTCACGCCTATAATCCCAGCACTTTGGGAGGCCACGCACGGTGGGTGGATTGCCTAAGCTCATGGGTTTGAGACCAGCCTGAGCAAAAAGCATGACCCCATCTCTACTAAAATTAGAAAAACTAAGGCAAGATCACTTGAGCCCAAGAGTTGGAGGTTGCTGTGAGCTATAATGCCCAGGGCAACAGTTTGAGACTCTTGTCAAAAAAAAAGAAAGAAAGAAGGAAGGAAGGGAAGGGAAGAGAAAGGAAGGGAGAAAGAAAGAAAAGAAAGAAGGAAAAAGAAAAAAATAAATGGTGTCTATACTATCTGTATTTAAGATTTTTGAGCGCTGACATGAGCCCGGGTGAGGAGGGTCGAGTTTGAACTGAAAACATAGATGGTTAACTGGTAGTGGGTATTTTCTGACATGTGTTCAGGTTCATAGATTTCTTTTGAGAGTCTGATGAAAGAACTCTTGAAATTCTTCCTCATAAAAATGTGCATACACGTGGAAAAACAGTTTACACTCTGTTACAGGTGGTTCTCAGACTGCCATATTCTGTATCTGGATCCTCTAGACCAGTGTTTTTCAACCTTTTTTATCTCACAGCACACTTGAACCTATAGTTAAACTTCCATGGCACACTTAAATTATGTTGATAAAAAAAAAAAGAGTAAAGAAAATAATATGCTTAACTGTGTTTTGAACTCCTTTTGAAATTAATTTAATTAATGATCTTTTAAAATTTTCTCAGCACACCCAAGATCTGTCACTGCATACCAGGGTGCTGTGGTGTACCAGTTGAAAATCACTGTTCTGGCAGAATCTATGTGACACAGGGTGAAAACTCCAGAATAACTAATTGGTTTTCACACAAAGTCATTGAATGAATTCTCCTGCCTGATGGGGGACCAGGGTGCCACCTGAGCCACCCCTTTGAGTGACAGTGGCAGGGAGGACCAGCCAGCACCCATTTGTGCTCCTGTGTAATCTCTGACATGATTCTTTCATCTTTGCAGTCCGCTGACATGGATTGAAGAGAAAGGTCCCCAGCTAAAACGAAACAGATATTTAAGTTTCCATTTCAAATCTGGGGCCCTGGAGAATGTGCCAAATGTTGGAGTCAATAAGAACATTTTCTTGAAAGATCAAAATATATTTGTGCAGAAACTCTTGGGCCAGTTCTCTGAGAAGGAAGCGGCTGCTGAAAAGAAACGAATCCTGCACTGCTTGGCGCTTGCAGAAGAAATCCAGAAATCTTGCTGTGGCGAGAAGTGAGAGAGGGAGGCAGCACCACACTCCACGGCAGACCAGAGTTCGGCTTTTACCAAGAGTTGCACTCTATCTCTGTTCTTACAATTAAACATGTTGGGGAAGCAGGATGAGTTTATTGTTACAAGCTGTGTTGGGGGTACTTGGGGTTGGAGTCACACTGGGTTCCGGGAAAGCGCAGACCTTGGCTGACTTCATTTACTGCCCCACAGCCCCACAACGTGGGCATTCCCAGGCCTGTCTTCCTTGTGGTTTCACGTCACCTGGATGGTAAATAGCAGGAGCCACCTGTGCTCTGAACCCCTACAAAATACTGCCTTCAATTTTAGTTTCTCTCACAAACTTTCACTGGGTACCTATGCTAGGTGCTGGGAATTCTAAAAATGAGTAAGATACAGCCATTGCCCCCAATAACTCACAGTGTCTAAGGGGAACAGGCCACACAAGTCAGTCATTGCAGTGTAGCAGGTCCAGCCAGAGACTGTACCTGCTGACCGGAGAGAGGATAGGGAGACTTACCCGTGGGGTCACAGGGGAGGCCCCCCTGGTAGAGGACAGGTGTGAGCAGAGGAATGGGAGCAGGAGGTGCTGTAGTGTTATGGGGGTGGGAGGTGGGGCGGTCACTGGAGCCTTGGGGAACAAGGGGGTCCTAGAGAGGCAGATCTTGTTTGAGGGGAATCTATAAGCCAGATACGAGCTGGGTGTGATTATTACGCAGTGCAGAGGCACTGAGGCATGTCATTTACCAGTGGCACTCAGGAGGCTGCGCAGAGGAGGTGAGACCTGGGATGTGGTTTTCAGGTGACAGCAACAGTGAGGCGTGAGCTCGTTTTGAATCAGAGTCTGCTGCCCTTGAGGCAGAGCCAGAGTCTCAGGAAGCTGCCCTTTCATTTCCTGGTGGTCCTGCTGCATTTTTCAGAAGCCTGTAGACTTCTTGCTTCCAGAACTGTCCTCTCACTTTTGCACACTCCCCACTTGCCACGGTGCTATTTAACCAATTCAGTATCAGTGAGGTTGGTGACAGGCAAACTATGTACTGTTTCCATTTCTATTATTCCATCACCTCAGTGCCTCAAGATGAAGCCAAGAAATAGGTTAATTTAAAATCTTTAAGATTATTCCTTTATTTGCCAGATAGTTTGTAGTAAATATTCACCCCTTGGTTCTCTTTTTACCCACACCCAGTGTCCCTTGAGACCAGGGACTGTTGTCTGCTGTGTGCTGTGCTGCATCTGTAGCACCCAGTAAATGTCACACAAATATTTGGTGAGCAAAACACAGTGAGTGACCTCCCACGTGAGTGGACTTGGTAATGCTGCTATTTCAAGATATGGCCGAGGTCGGTGGACCACCTGAGCTCAGGAGTTTGAGACCAGCCTGAGCAAGAGCTAGACCCCATCTCTACCAAAAATAAAAAAACCTAGCCAGGCATAGTGATGGGCACCTATAGTCCCAGCTACTAGGGAGGCTGAGGAAAGAGGATCGCTTGAGCCCAGTAGTTTGAGGTTGCTGGGAGCTATGACACCATGGCACTCTACCCAGGGTGACAGAGTGAGACTCTTCTCCAAACAAACACTACCTGATAGTGGGAGTGGGAGTAGGTGTCACAGAAAACCAAAGCTGGTTGATAAAACCCTTTATTCAAGAGCGATTACAATAGGGAAAAGAGATCTCAGTGTAGGACCAGGCTCGACTCTGAGCACAGTGCACACAAGTGGAGTTTGTAGTCCAGGAGCAGAGGGTAGAAAAGAAGCAAGAGGAAGAGTCAGTAGATTCTGGCTAAACAATTTGACAGGATTCTTGCTGAAGACAGGCCAAGGTGATCAGATGGCAAGCTTGAGGATTCTTACTAAACTGACTTAGCATTTTTTGCTAAAATTGGGTGATGCAAAGATGGATACAGGAGTCCATAGATCAAGGCCTAGTCAAGAAGGGGGGTTCAAGGAACCTGACTAAAGTTTGGGGAAGGACAGAATCTTTGTCATGGGCTCTGTGATTTCTTTTTTTTCTTTTTCTTTTTTTTTTTTAGGCTCATGGGCTTAGGTGATTCTCTTGCCTCAGCCTCCCGAGTAGCTGGGACTACAGGCACCCACCCCAATGCCCAGCTATTTTTTTGTCGCGGTTTGGCTGGGGCTGGGTTCAAACCCGCCGTTCTCGGTATATGGGGCTGGCACCCTACTCACTGAGCCACAGGCACCACCTGGGCTCTGTGATTTCCAACTGACCTTGATAAATGCCTCGGGCTTATTTTGTGTTTTATTAAGAGATTCAGAATAGGGGGAGGAGCAAGATGGCAGCTGAGTAGCAGCTTCCTTGCAAGTGGGCATGGTGAGACTGGGGAGAGAAGACTCCAGGCATCTCTGGCTGGTGGAATCTACCCAGAAACATCCCTTTGGGGACACAGGGAGTCAGCGAGAAACTTCTGGACCCCATGAGGAGGACAAAAGCAGTGGAGAACTGTCAAGTGGTTGCACGTGTTTGTTCGGTCTAATTCCTGCAGCAGCAGTGAGATTGCAAACTGGAAAGTCCTTACCTGTGAGCTGTTTTGTTTTTGTTTTTGTTTTTTTTAGTGACAATCTCACTTTATCACCCTCGGTAGTGCTCTGGTGCCACAGCTCACAGCAACCTCCAGCTCTTAGGCTTAGGCAATTCTCTTGTCTCAGCCCCCCAAGTAGCTAGGACCACAGGCACCTGCCAAAACGCCCAGCTATTTTTTTGTTTCAATTTGGCCAGGACCGTGTTTGAAGCTGCCACCCTGGTTATACGGGGCCAGCGCCCTACTCACTGAGCCACAGGCGCTGCCCAGCTGTTTTATTTTTTATTTTTTGGACTTGGCACTCAGTTGAATTACCTTGGGAGAATTTGGACAAGAGTGCAGAGGACTTTGAGCATTGTCTAGGGCCCCAGAATGAGCTGCTGGCCAGACGGAGCAAATAGTGTTAGCTATTAGAGAACGGCCCCAGCAAGCTCCACCCTCAGGGTCACAAAGCGAGGATTGGGTGAGAGACCTTGGGCGAGTAATCTAGTGACTGAGCAGCCTAAGGAGGAGACTGAAATGCCTTACAGCCTTGATCCTCAGGGCCATAGAATGAGACTGGTTTTGGCACACTGGGTAAGTGGACAGACACTTCAGGAGTGATCCCAGTGACAAGTGCTTTGTGGGAAAGCTTCTGCTTAGCCAAGGTTAGCAGTTTAAAGTGCCTTTTAAGCGCGCTGAGGAGAGATTTAGGCTTTCCACCCTGCAGGGTTTGAGAAATCAGCAGAGGCCTCCAGTCTCCACCTCATATAGCCGTATCAGCATTGTGATTAACATCTCATACCTCAGAAGATCACCTGTTGCCCAGACAATATTCAGCAAGATATTATACTGCTTTGTTTTAGCTTTTTTAATTTCAACATTTTCCCTCTAAATTTTTCTCTTTTTTCTTTCTTTTCTTTCTTCATTTTTCTAGTTTAAACATAATTTTCCATTATTGCCTTCTATAACAATTAGAACTTCACTTTTTCTAGTGTTTCTACCCCTATTATTTGGTTTTTTCCCCCAATTTTATTCTGTAAAGTTTTCTGTTTGCTTGTTTTGGTTTGATTTATAGCATTTTTTTCTTTTCTCTCTACTTGGTGGAGGTGGGGTACTGTGTCCAAACAGGCTAGCAAAGAGTTGCTGACCTCAAGGGAACCACCCAAACTGGCACCCCCAGAGGTTGGGGGTTTTTAAGGTTGGGTCGAAGTACCCTGCTGTACACCTATATTGCTCCTGTCTCCCCCTTTCTGTGCCTCTCTTCTTTTTGTCAATTTCCCTTTTACTCATCCCCTCTCCTTTCTCTATTTTCTTTTCGTCTTTTTTTTTTTTTTTCCTTTTTCCTTTCTTGCTCTTCAGTCTTTCATCCTTCTGGTCCTATAACAGAAGGACTCTTTGAAACCCTACTTTCAAAGTTACCAGAGTTACCAGAGGCATGGTAACTTAAAGAGCAAGAGGAAGTGAAAGGAAAATTAGGGCAAGAAAACAGATAAAACACTCGTGAGAAAGAATCAGCAGAAAAATCCTGGCAACATGAAAAACCAGTTCAAAGCAACCTCCCCAAGGGACCATGAGGAAGCTAGCTACTGCAGAGGATTCCTCCTATAAAGAAATGTTAGAAATGACAGAAAGGGAATTTAGAATACAGATGATGAAAACAATGAAGGAAATGATGGAAACTACTGATAAAGTAGAAAATAACCAAAAGGAAATCCAAAAACAGAAACAAATTAGAGATGTACGATATGAAGAATATAGAAAGGATATAGCAGAGCTGAAGGAACTATAGCAATCAATTAGGGAACTTAAAGATGCAATAGAAAGTATCAACAACAGATTAGGCCATACAGAAGAAAGAATCTCAGCAGTAGAGGACAAAGCTCTTGAGAAAACTCAGATAGTTAAAGAAGCAGAAAAAAAGAGAAAGCAGAACGTTCACTGACAGTATTATGGGCTTTTATGAAGCATTCAAACCTACAAGTTATAGGTATCCCAGAATAGGAATAAGAATGCCCCAGGGGAATGGAAGCCATACTAGAAAATAGTGTAAATGAAAATTTCCCAAATATCACCAAAGATTTTGACACACTCCTTTCAGAGAGATATCAGATCCCAGGTCACCTCAACTCTGTAACAGAGCTTTTCCAAGACACATTATGATGAACCTGTCCAAAGTCAAGACAAAAGAAAAAATTCTTCAAGCTGCCAGGAGTAAGTGCCAGTTTATCTACAGGGGCAAATCCATCAGGGTGACTGCAGACTTCTCTAATGAAACTTGTCAAGCAAGAAGACAATGGTCATCTACCTTTATTCCACTTAAACAGAACAATTTCCAGCCCAGAATTCTATATCTTGCTAAGCTAAGCTTTAAAATTGACACAGAAATCAAATCATTTACTGATATGCAAACATTGAGGAAATTCGCCACAACAAGACCAGCTCTATAGGAAATACTTCAACCTGTTCTACACACTGACTGTCACAATGGATTAACAGCAAAGTAAGAACTCAGAAATTAAAGGACAGAACCTAACCTCCACAATGATGCAAAAGTTAAAACTAGGCAATGGATTCTCACAAAATAAGATG